GGCCTTGTTGACATTGGCGATCTTGTGGAAGCGCATCTTGCCTTTGTCTGGCCTGGGCAGCCTCTCTCCTGGGTGTGAGGGGAGAGGTCAAGGGTCAAAGGTCATGAGAGGAAGCTGAAGACATGGTCCTCAAACTTCCCCCTCCCTCAGCAATCCCCCTCCATCACTCTGATGCCACTGCTCCCCCAGCTCTCTGGGTTTTCCCCTGTGTCCTGGGGTCCCTGTGCACTGATTTGCACCCCTCACCTGAAATGACCTCCAGGAGCAACATGAGTTTGAGGCCGTTGCGGAAATCCTCCTCGATGTTCTCGATCTGGGTGCCAGCCTTGCGCAGGTGCGAGTTGCACCAGGCAGTGAAGGTCTGGGGGCAGAGGACAGTGCTCAGACCCTAGTGCTGAGGACAGCGCCCTGGCTCCTCTGTCAGGGCAGATCTCAGAGCCCAAGGCCCTGGATTCAAGTACCGGCTCAGCCACTGACTTGCTGTGCATCTGGGGCCAGCCCCTTTCCCTCTCTGAGATTTAATTCTCCTGGAAAAGGAGAAATGGGGTCTGGGGCCCATTCAGGTCTCAGTTTGGACTTGGGGTGCCTCACTGCTGACACAACAGCTTGTGTCAAGCACTCAAGCACTGAAGGGGGAATTAGAAACCTGTAAAGCAGACACTCCAAAGCGTGGGGCTCTCTGAGGCACAAGGGTCAGTGCAGGCTGATACTACCTCAAATCTGAAAAATTCTGTGTTGAAGCACAGATGGCTCCGAGGGACTGTGCACCTGTGTTTTTATTATCTCAGGCTCACCGGTCTCTTAAGGCTGTTGTGAACTGGCCTTCAAGCAGACCATGAGGCTGCAAGAGCTTTCTGCAGGCTGAAGAGGATCAGCTGGACACTCAGGCCCAGGCTGACCTAGTTTCTGGAGGAGACTGCCCTCCCTCTCCGGCCAGAGTGTGCTTCCGCCTCAGCCTCTGTCTGAGATGGGAGGGGTGGTATATGGCTGTGTGCCTTTGGGGGATGGCAGTGACCTAGAGCTTGGTGCACAAGTTTCTACCAACCTACCAAGCCCCGAGGCCTTGGATTCTGCCATCAGCAGTCCTTGGTGGAATCCATACTTGGGCTCCAATCCCAGCTGAGCTACTCACTCTCTGTGACCTGGGATGTGCCCCTTGACCTCTCTTGGGCTCAGTCTCTCCATTTGCACAATTAAGGGTTCAGACTCAGTGATGTCTCAGGTCCTTCTTCCCCTGACCTTGCAGGATTCTGGAATTGAGAGCATCCCCCTGCCACCGCAAAGCAGATACTCCAGGGAGGTGGCCCTGGAAATCATTTGGAACTCTTT